CGTTATACCCTTGTTCATATCTGTTTTTTTTTTTTTTTTTTTGTTTTGTTTTGTTTCCACTTCCGACGCTGTGTTTCTTTGTCCGGGCCAGAGTGGGCGATTTCCTTCGTGAGTCAGATGTCAGATCCCAGCCGTCGAGCTGTCAGATTTCGGATCCGGCCTAGACACTTACTTGGCTGGGATGCAGACGCGCCTGCGATCTCCATGCCGATCGTTGGATCGGCCTCTTTCCTGGTCATTTTCATCTCTTATTCTCTACCCCCGGCTGGGTTCTTTTGTAAATGACGATGAAGATTTCCTCCGTCGGAGTTCAGCGTTCTGGCGAAGAGGCTCCGCATCGACGCGTTTAGTGCGCACGGTGGAGCGTTCCAACAGAGACATTCAATATAAAAACAAACCCTATTCCTTCTTACCCACCTCTGCTACCGCCTTGTCAGCGCTATATTGCTTTCTGACTTCTGGAACGTCGGCCCCAAGCGCCAGCGCGGAGCACCTCCAGCTCACGTTCCGCTTGTCCCCCGCCGACCGACACGGGAGGGGCCACCGTCGTCATGGTGCATCTGGATAACCTCTGCGCCCGGGCTCATGACTGGCTGGTGCGAACGAACAATGGACGCGGTCACTTGACCGGCGCAAGCAATCATGTGCTCCGGTACTCTTTTGGCGTCCGTTCTTGGCATGGTTACAGTTCTCCGAAGTAGTAGTGGTTGAAGTAGCATAAAACTCGTGATAAGGATCATTATGTGGAGGCTGCTCCATGCCGCTCTTCCCGCCCTCCAGCCTCCCGTTTGGGCTATGTTGGAGGGTGTCGCGTTGTCCGGGCGTCTTTCGGTCTACATCGCCCCAATGTCCAAATGCCGCGACATCGATTGATTGGGAGAGCTACCTAGAACCCTGTCGAGTGTCGGCAGTAGAGTGCTTCATCTCCCGGCCGCCTACCCTCACCACATGAGGAGTCCTTGGTGTGTCGCATGTGAAGCCTTAGACCTCGACCAGACGACGATGGCGAGATGGGGCCCTTAGAAATATGTTTCACGAACCGACCAGAGCGGGGCCTCTAGTGGTAAGGGCAGCTTTCGTTGTTTTGCTATTCTTTTCGCCTCTTTTCCTTCGCCCTTTGCATTTTATTTTTCTGTCTTGCCCCTCTTGGCATGTCCCCCGATTCCGGTGATTATAGGGCCTTTGATCATACGGTATTGACCACCCGGTGATCCAGGTTGAGTGGAAAAATGTTCCCGCCCTTGTGGTGTCTCTTAGAAGAGACAAAAGGAACAATCCATGAGCAGAAAGGAAAATAGAAGCCAGATCGACTAGATTAAAGGGCCCCGCAACCGTCCGGGTTTAGCAAGGCGCAGTGGAAACCCGTCGTGATTGTTGGCCCTGCCTGGGCTGAGCATTTGGGATAGGCGACCAGGAATGTTGTAAGCAAGGTCATACAATCCGCAGCTGCATCGCCGCCGTCCATTGACCGAATCAACGGGATTCTCCCCAACGCCAGACGAGGCGTGTTGACTGGTAAAAATCCACAAATAAAGGACAAAGAACGTAAGCATGGTAGGCGACGAAGCGGCTTCACCTCTAGAGTTTGGTTGTCGGTCTTTTTCTTTTTCTTTTTTTTGCTCCCTTCTTACAACAACCACCTGACGGTTCTATTTTTGTCCTTTAGATGGAATATGACTGTTGTGTTGGGTCCCGAGAGCCGGACGCTCATAATACTACCCATCACAGCCTCCTTGACGGCTTTCCTTAGACTAGATGTCGCCCAACCTATATGAGACGGTGGGAAACACGAGTACGAAGTATTGGGTTATCAAACCGCCATCCCAAGGGTGTTGCAGTCGCAGTCCATGGCTCTCGCTGAGTCGCCGATCAGACGGGATCGCTATGGGACGGCCGTTTCCATCCGAGATCGGATCCTCTGCAGGGCCTCGCTAAGCGTTCCACAGCGATCGAAGCACGAACCATGCACCCAGCAGCCCAACGGCTGAAGCCATCAGCAACACATTCCCCTCCCATGTCAATCCCAAATACGCCAAGCATCCCACCACGATCTCCCTCTGGCGCGCCATGTCCCGTTTACGCTGCCAGTCCGGGTCAATTGGGAACGGGGCGGACACATGTGTCGCATCGACCGGTCGGCTCGCCACGATTGGCACGGCTACCGACAGCGCGACAGCGCGATGATCAGAGGTTGGAAACAGCGGTAAAGAATCGTACTGCAGCGGTTTCACTCGTGCATCCTCACCCATGCCCGGCGGAGTGTCCAGATAGAGCACACGGTCGCACCAGCTGGGCCAACGGGTGCTTGTCCACGACCACTCCGAGGGGCCTTCACCCTGTGCCGCAGCCTTCTGCGCCGCCAAGGTATACTTGTAGGTTGGCGGGAAGCCAATGGGTGCCTCCGTCAGGCCATGAAAACTCCGCGACTGTCGCATCTCGCGGGTGAGTTGGTCGTCTGTCAGGAGCTGCGAGTAATGACGGGGGTCGGCGGGATCCGCATTCAGGCGTGGGAAACGGGCAAGGTCTTCTTGCCCGGGTGACACGTTCGATGTGCGGTAATTCAGATCGCCGGCAATGAAAAGATAGCTATTGGAGAAGAAGATACCTCGGCGGTCGTCACCGCCATTCGACGTCGACCCGTGTAGCAAGCCCGAGGTTTCTGGGTCATCTGGCTCGAGACTCCCTCGAGCGGTGGCAACAGGCCTTTCAAAGACCAGTCGCTCGACTACGCTGCGCCAGTCATGGTTTCGCTGCTCAACCGCAGATTCCATCGGAGCCAGGTGGGCGGCCACAAAGGTCAAATCTATACTCCCGTCGGGGGTTTCTTCGGTAGCATAAGCCAGCCGCGCCCCCACTGCACCCTTGTTGCCCATCTCCTGAAACCCAAAGCCGATGCGGGCGGTATCGACCGATGATACCCGTTCTGCAACGTCCGACCTGGCAAAGACCATTAGGCCCGTCATGCCACTGTTGTCAGTAACTAAATTGACATAATCAATGTCCCACCGCTGGGCGACCGCCTGATTGACCACGTCCTTCAGGGAAGAAAAGTAGGGGTCGAGATACGACCCTCCCAGAAACGCATACGCAATAGGAGCAAGCTCCTGAACGGACAAGACGATCAGATCGGGCGGGGACGGATCATTGCGGGGTCGAGCGTCAAAGAAATGGTTCGCAAAGCGATTGACGTCGACTAGATTGCGAGCACAATTGAAGGTGAGAATATAGAGTGAAAGTGGATTCATGATGAATGATTCAACCAGCTAGATCTATGAGATGTAGAACCTTGCATGAGGGATGCGGCAAGTGCATAGATGGATTGACGAAGATGAAGATGAAGATGAACAAGTAAAGTAGAGAAGAGGACGATGACGATGCGGTGAGACCATGTGACTGGCTCTTATCGATAAGGTGCCCTGCTGCCTTGCTGCCTGAGGTGTTCATCTCGATCTACTCTACGGTTGACGACATCTACAACTTCCCTCGTAGTTCCTCTTCCAACTCGACCAACAGCATACCTTCGGCGACATCTTCCTCTTCGTCCTCCATTTCATATACCCATTGAGCTCGTCCGGCCCGTGGACTGCGGACCTCCACCTCCATCTTCATCTGTTTGATGAATGCCACCACTTGGTTCTCTGCAATCACGTCTCCGGGTCCCACCATCACCTCAGTCAACTTCCCAGAAAGTGGGAGTACGATATGTCGGGGATTCCGGGTGTCTCCACGGCGGTGGGAGGAGGACACCAATGCCGATGCGGCAGTTTGCGTCGTGGCCAAGTGCATGCGGTAGGAGGAAGAAGATGACGGGGTCGTATATTCAATCTCTGCCGACAGGGAGGAGGGGAAGTCGTTTTGCAAGACTCGTGTGAGTTGGAGATGATGATGTTGTGGTGTTTGCGGTGAGCCATTCAAAGTCAAAGGCTCCAGCTTGACCGACCACGCATCACCACGACGGAAGAGAAGGTTGGATGTAGGCACACTGGGGACGGTAGAGGGACGCGTGGAGGGGCCAGACGTCTTGTCACGGATGGACTGGGAGATAGTCTCGCCGTGATGGACGGCGCCATCGAGGTTTTTTTCCAGCCATTGTGTGTCAAGACGTCCCATCATGAAATCTTCATGATGGGCGATCCCCCGCAGCAGATCGAGGTTGGTTTGCACGCCAGACACCCTCGTATCCGCTAGCACTCGGCGGGCTTTCAAGACGGCTGTCTCCCAGCTGGATGCGGTGACAATGATCTTTGCCAGGAGGTTGTCAAATTGGGCGCCAACCACCACGGGGCTGGCGCCCGTCATGTCTACGTGGGTGTCAACGCGGACCCCGTGGCCGCTCGGCACGCTAAAGTCGGTGATTTTTCCCATACTGAGGGAGAAGCCCTTGCGTGGATCCTCCGCGCATAACCTCAGCTGAATAGAATGCACGTTGGCCGGAGATTGTGCATTCGTACCCAAACCAATCTGGGCGAGGGAGCGGCCTTGGGACAGCTGTAGTTGTGTCTGGACGAGGTCTCTCCCGGTGATCGCTTCTGTGATGGTGTGCTCTACCTGGAGACGAGGATTGATCTCTAGAAAGTAGAATTCCCCCAACTGTTCGTTGACTAGAAACTCGACCGTTCCTAGGTATCGATATCGCGTGGCGCGGGCCATGCGCAGTGCAGCGTCAACCACCCTCTGCACCAGGTTTCGGTCACGCACGAGCGACGGGGCGATCTCAACCACTTTCTGGAACCGTCGCTGGATGCTACAGTCCCGTTCCCATAAGTGGCATACATCTTTCCCATCACCGACCACCTGTACCTCCAAGTGGCGAAACCCGTCCACCGCCGCTTTTTCGAGGAACACTGTCTGCGAGGGCGACTCGTTTGTGGCTCCGCGGATTGCCCCCTCCAACTCATCGTCCCGCCGGACCAGTCGAATACCGCGGCCCCCACCACCATCAACGGCCTTGATCATGACGGGATAGCCAACTTGGTCCGCAAAGCCTCGGATTTCAGCTACATCACCAGTGGGGTGAGGCATGGCTGGGAGAACTGGTACATCGCACTGCATGGCCAGCTGTTTGGCTTGGAGCTTGTCACCCGTGCGGGCCAACGTCTCCGCTCCAGGGCCGATGACGGCGACCCCAACATCCTGCATGCGACTGGCAAAGTCGGCGCTTTCACTTAAGAAACCGTATCCGGGATGGACGGTATTGATCCCATGCTTTTGGGCCAATTCGACCAGCAATTCAACATCTAAATATGCCGCAGGAGAGGGAACTCGCAGGGCATGTTGAGGCCGACCAAGATCACAGTGCGACCGATCTTCGTCGGTATAGATGGCAAATGTTTCGATGGCAGGCCAGACCTCGCGAGCGGCTTGGATGATTCGAACGGCGATCTCGCCTCTATTGTTCACGGTCAGCGCGGAGTTCAAGAGGGGGTTAGCGAGATCCTACATACCTATTGGCGACCAGTAGTCGCTGTGTCGGTTGCGCTGACATCTTCCGGTATTGGTATGTTGAAATCCAGGCTGGTATCCTACATTGTTTATCGGATCATTCTGGCGTGGAGAAGCTGTGCCTGCGACACCCTGTTGGATCACTCTCGGACCTCGGCTCCAGTTTTCTACCCCACACGGGTTTCATCCCCCCATCTAATCAAGACCACTCACCTACAACAACATGCAGATGCGCTACACTTAAGCTTGTGTTAGGAGGGGACAAGTACAGCACAGAGCTACAATGCCCGACAATAAAGCCACCAAAAGACTGAAACAGGTCTCTTCACATCTGGCCCCCAAGCTCCCCGCGGATTACAGTGATGTCCGCGACCAGATAAACACTCTCCGCGACATCGCCGCCACTCCAGACCCCAGTCGGCGCGGGTATGTGCGACAAAAGCAGGCGGGGAAGATGTGGGTACGCGAGCGACTGGAGCAGCTTCTCGACCGCGACACATTCACCGAAATTGGGTCGGTGTCCGGGACGGTGAAGTGGGAGAAGACGGGTCCCATGCGCGAAAAGCCCGTGTCCTTTGTTCCCAGTAACAATGTTCAGGGTATGGGGCGCTTGCGGGGTCGCAAGGTGCTGCTGACGGCGGACGATTTCTCGCTACGGAGCGGGCATGCCGACGGCTCGACGGCGGGCAAAACCATCTACGTGGAGAAGCTGGCCCTCGCACTCAAGCTGCCAGTGGTCAAGCTGGTAGACGGCAGCTCGGGTGGAGGCAGTGTGACGACAATCGCCAAAGCAGGCTGGAGCTATCTCCCGTACGTGCCGATGTATAAGCAGGTCGTGGAGCAGCTGAACCAGGGAATACCCAATCTCGGCGCGGTCGTGGGCCCTGCCGTAGGAATCCCCCCTCCCAAACTCAAGTTTGCGCCCAGCTAACGAGAGGCAGATTGGCTTGGGGGCTGCCCGCGTTGTCTCGTGCCACTTTTCTGTCATGGCGGCGGATATTGGGGCGCTCTTCAACGCAGGCCCTGAGGTAGTCAAGGGGGCGACGTTTGAGGAGGGACTGGACTTTCAGGACCTGGGCGGACCGATGATTCACTGCACAAACGGGACAATTGACAATATGGCTGCCAACGAAGCCGAGTGTTACGAGCAGCTGCGCACGGTGCTGAGCTACCTGCCGAACCACGGCAAGGAGGCCCCGCCAGTCATTGCGTGTGAAGATCCCCCAGACCGCGAGGACGAATCGTTGCGCAAGATCATCCCCCGCCGGCAAACACGGATGTACAACCCCTGGACGATTATCAAGAGCGTGGTGGACCACGACTCGTGGTTCGAAATTGGAGCACTCTGGGGCCGCACCGCCATCGGGGGCCTGGCGCGGCTGGGCGGCCGTCCAGTTGGCATCATCTCCTTGAACTGCGAGGTCAATGGCGGAGCGCTGGACGCGGCGGGGAGTCAGAAGCTAGCGCGGTTGCTGAAACTCTGCGATGTGATGAACCTGCCAGTGCTGCAATTTATCGACGTCCGTACGTATCCTGTCCCCACCTCAAGAGTATCAAGATATGTGCTGAGCGATTTGTCTAGCCGGCTATGCCATTGGCACCGTCGCTGAGCGAACGGCTACCATGCGCTGGGGCGTCGAACTGGCCAAGGCCTACTTCGCGACGACCACGCCGCTATTCAACGTCATCACGCGCCGGGCGTACGGCGTCGCCGGAGGCATCATGCTCGGTGCGCGCGATCCTGTCATGCAGGTCGCCTGGCCATCCGGACAGTGGGGGTCCCTGCCGCTGGAAGGAGGGATCGAAGTCGCGCATCGACACGAGCTGCGCGAGGCCGAGAAGGTCGGCAACAAGGCGGAGCGGTACCAGGAGCTGGAGGAGGAGTATCGCCGGATGATGAACCCAGTGCGCACGGCGAACGCCTTTGGAGTGGAGGAGATCATCGACCCCAAGGACACGCGGAGTGTATGTTGCGCGTGGGCGCGTCATATGTACGAAGCGCTGATGCCGGAGCGGCTGGCGGATCGCGCGACTGGGAAAATCCGCCCGGTGTTTACTTGACTTGACTCCTGTACCATACACCAGCCTATAGTTTTACGGAGTAATAGCAGACACATACTAGTCGCATAACGGCCGCCATTCCCACCAGTCTCCCCACTCGGACGGTTTCCATTGGTGCCAATAAATGAACCCACGGTCCGTCGGAGATTACGCCCGCTTGGCGAGGCCACAACTCCTGCTGTCAAAAGCTGGACGATTCCTCTGGCCCTGGCCTTGTCCATTTTCTGGTTGAAGATCAGTGGATCTGAATGCTCTTCTAGCCATGTCATTCAACATTGTTAACGGCCAGATCTACACGCCGGGCTTGGCGATCGTGGATGCGCCGCAGCCCAATACTCCTCTAGGAGGGGGTGAGTCTATAATCCACTATATAAACATGGATATCGATATGTGTAGATTGGAATAGCACTGATAACATCTAGACACTCTCCACATCGCCATCGACATCTCGGGAAACGGAAAACTATCTCTGGACAACGACGAAGACGAAGATAAAGACAAAGACACCCACCTCCACAGCCTCACCCTCTTCCTCACCTCCACCGACTTATCTAAGAACTTCACCATCTCAAACGGCACCTCGCCCCACGACCACCACGACCATGCACCCTACGTCGGCCCCGTCCTCGACCTCGAGCCCTCGTCAACAGTCAAACACGTCGACTGGACATGGCCGGCTTGTCTAGTCGGTGAGGGATCGGGCGGCGCTGCCCGAGGAAAATACAATATCTCCATGCATCAGTCGTTCCGATGGCGCGGGGTGGAGCATTACACGGTGTTTGATCTACCTATCTCCGTGTCTAATTCGATTGAGGAGTCTGATGAGAGGGTGGATTGTGCGTCTGTTGAGAATGAGTTGTTGGACGCGGGGGCTTTGGCTGCTAGTAATGATACGCTGGATGAGGTGCCTTGGGTGGGTGAGGTCGGTGCTTCTGGGGAGGAGGCTGATGCTGATGCTGCGGTGGGGTCTGCTAGGGCTGGGGTTTGGGGCTGGGCGTTGGTTGCCATGGTCGGGTACTGGTGCTTGGGGTATTGAGTTGTTGATATTCGTACTGCGTATGTGTGTATAGATGTATAGTGTATAATTCTTGGTCTTAAGAGTAATGTATGATTTTCGTATATTTTGAGGATTATATCGTGTTAGACTGCGGTTCATGATGTGGACATGCATGAGCAAGAATCAGATACTACTCGAGAGACATCTCCGTCTTGTCGTCCGATCTCCCCCGTACTTGGACCTCGAAATCGGTCGGTTTGACGAACCAGAAGTTTTCCGTGGACCATTTATTCGCGCTGGTGGTGCAGTCAAAGTCCCGGACCATTCGTGGGATCAGCTTCGATATTTCCAAGAGAGAGATGTGCTTGCCCAGGCAAGTTCGAGAACCCAGACCGAACTGTGTCCTTGTCAGCTACTGGCGTCCCTAGAGTCCAGTGGAAACCTACCGGCATATACATATCGTTCATCAATCGCAGTCGCTCTGGGTCTTTTTCTGCTTCTAGCCACCTGTCCGGCTGAAAGGTCCTGGCCTCGGGAAAGACTTCCTCGTTGTAATGGGCTACCCACGTGTTGATCCCGACGACTGCCCCTTCGGGGAAGCGATATCCGCTGATCTCCTCGCCCCCCGCCGGTACGACTCGCCATAGCGGCAGACCTGTGGCGCTGTGCATGCGCAGGGCCTCTTTGATGACGGCCTGCAGGTACGGCATCTCCTGGCTTTCTTTGAAAGTGACACGGGGACTGCAGCGGCCCTGCGCGGTGAACGAGTCAATCTCGCCCCGCAGCTTCTCGAGCACCTCTGGGTTATGCAAGAGGTAGTACATGTTGGACGAGAGGCTGATGGCGGTGGTGTCGGAGCCAGCGACGACGTTGGACAGTGCCATCATGTATAGATGGTAGTCTGTCACTTTCTCAGGATCTTTATCCCGTGCCAGCATCATCTTCTCTACGAAGTCTTGGGTTTTCGGCGCTCTACCCTCCGCCTCATCCTGTTTAGGGGAAGGTGGAGCGTGGGCTCTGATCTTGTCCTGTACGAACTGCATGATATATGCTCGTCCCGCAGCCCCAGACGACTTGAACCAACTCAAAATCCCAAACAGCCGCGGATGCCATTCGGGGTAAATCCCGACCAGGGTACTGTATGTCATGAGGCCTTGCAGAGCAGCAATGGTGCCTTGGACATCGTGACCTTGGTCTAGGAAGCCTTTCAGACGCAATGGCATTGGCATTAGCAAAGGGATACGCCGACGGTCTTAAGAAAAGGACAGAACGAAATAAGACCAACAAAGATGAAATGAGATACACACCAAACCGTTGCCCAAAGGTGATCTCCCCGATGACATCAAACGCATAACACTGGAACCAGTGGCCCAGATTCAGAGCGCGTCCAGGTTGGGCATGCTCCTGCAGCCGCTGGGCAAAGATGTCGGCGCAGTTGTCCACGAATGCCTCGTAATGCACCAGAGAGCTCATGGAGTAGAGGCTCGCGAAGCGTTTCCTTGTTTCTCCTTCCCCGCGTATCAGTCATCTTGACACATCCATGGTGGTATCTTCAACCAATAACCATGAGGCGTACCGTGACGTTGTATATCCCTGTCCGGAAATAATGTCCACCGGTTGGGATCGGGATGCTTCCACCCCTCGTACCACGCCGACTTGGCGAAGCGACTTCCCTTCCCATACACGGTTCTAACAGCAGATCTGTCACGGATACTGTAGTGGTCGGGAGCAATTCGCACGACAGGACCATACTTCTCGTGGAGCTGGATATTGTCATGTTCGAAGTGACGTAATCGCACGCGATTGAAATACCAGAGTTTAGTGAACCGGGTGGTGAGAGGCCCAGGGATTAAGAAGAGCGAGCGGTGGTGGAGGGTAATTTTTAAGAGACTGACAAACCAGTAGAGGGGGATGATCAGCAAAAACAGGACGAGGTGCATCTTTGTTGGGGATTGAAGGGCTAGTTGGGGAGAAGTGGAGAGAGAAACAAAGCCAGATGCGGGGAGGCGAATGAACCCCGATATATAGAGGTGGACAGCGCATACTGTAGTAACACGAGTTCGGTATAGTCCTACCGGGCACCCCACCAGTGTAGATACATCCAATAGGAGACATACTAACAGAGAACAACGAACAGTCTTTCCATATCACAATAAATCATTAAGACGTACAATCCCGCTAGAGGAATCCACTTAAGCCCGAGAGGCCCATCACCCCGATAGCATACAACCACCCATCAAGGCCTGATTAGAGACGATCCCAAATCACAAGAAGAACAGATCACTTTCGATCTCCCCACAGGCCCACAATGCCCATGGACAGCGCCAATCCGGCCAACACCGCGCGCCCGCCCTGCAAGCGGCGCTCCGTCTCCAGCGCCCGCTGCACGCTCTCCCCATTCACGTTGTTCTCCTCTGCCTCTACGACCACAAGATCATCCTCCCGCTTCTTCTGCTGGGAATTGGCGCACAGAGACCGACAGCCCATATCCTGCACCAACCCGCAGACCCAGGCCTTGACTCCCACCGCCTGGCCGTGGAACCAGTAATCCAACCCGTAGGAACCCAGGGTGGCGGAGACGGCCATCCAGACCAAGTAGGGGTGTTTGCGGTGCGGTGGGGAGATACAATAGGCAAACAGTAGGCAACCGTTCGCTATATTGGTCAGGCGTAGGCCATGCTTGCGATTGAGGCGTTTGACCTCGGCAGCGGCGCGCGAGGCCGTCGACGCCGTGGACAGCTGTTGCAAGGCGGGAACGGTGACGGCGGAGGAGGAGTAAGAGAGGCCCTAGATATCAAAGTTACTCAGGTGACATCACGATGATATGATGGTGAGGTTGATATGCATCCTTCACACGTTGGTGGAGCATTGATTAGGGCGCAGAGACATACCGTCAACAGGCCCAGTGATACAGTGCCAACAAATTTACTGACAGTGATGGGGCAGGCCATCTTGACGCGAAGAAAAAAAATCAAACAATCCAGCTACAGACTGCGGAAGATCGATACCTTTCAGACTGAAGAAGAAATGAGAAGGCGAGATCGATTGATCGAGTTGATCATTGAGGATCATTGAGTTCTCGAAAGCGAGTGACGTCGCTCCCGCGCAGCCAATCAGAGGAGAGTGAGTCAGCCATTGCTGACTCAGCGCGGTCTAACCCAAACAGGCTAGTCCGGCATAAATGAACATAAGGGACTAATGTTGAGTCAACATCCGAGGTTGATTATTATTCGCTCCGACCGCGGTTTCTCCGATCAACTCATTATACTTCTCCAGACCCCAGTCTTGATCTCCAGTTCTCCATCGTCTACTTCTATCCCCGCACTGTTTGACGTTGAAGGTTGTTTGTTGATTGCATTCCACGGAAATCTCGTTATAATGTCTCTTCCTTCAGTAGACTACGTCAGTGATACCTGGAAGCATGGCTTGTTCGGTAATGATTGCCCCCCCCATGTCAGATGGCGTTCGGGATGACTTGGCTAACATCCGACAGCCAACAAGGTCGTCTTCTGTACCGGTGGCGCAGGTACCATCTGCAGCGCCCAGGTACGCGCCATGGTCTATTTGGGCGCCAATGCCTGCATTATCGGTCGGAATGTCGACAAGACCGAGTCGGCTGCGCGCGATATCGCCACGGCCCGACCGGGGGCCAAGGTCATCGGCGTTGGGGCCGTAGATGTGCGCCAGATCAAGAGTATCCAGGATGCCGTCGATCGCTGCGTCAAGGAATTGGGCGCCATCGACTTCGTAATGTGCGTATCCAGGGGAAGTGTCGTTTGTGTTGATCGCTGACTTACGGTAGCGCTGGTGCGGCCGGGAATTTCTTGGCCTCCATCAACCAGCTCTCGGTCAATGCGTTCAAGTCTGTCATGGACATTGACGTTTTGGGTTCCTACAACACGCTCAAGGCCACTCTGCCCCATCTGGTCGAATCGGCCAACAAGCACAAGGTGGACCCGGAGACCTGTACGTGGACTCCGCGCGCGGAACGTCCCATGAGTGAATCCCCATGCTGATGAGAGTCTAGTGAGACCCTCCCCTCTGGGTTCGGGCGGTCGCATCATCTTCGTCAGTGCGACCCTCCACTACCGCGGTACGCCCTTCCAGTCGCACGTCTCCGTAGCAAAGGCTGGTGTCGATGCCCTGTCCAACAGTGCCGCCATTGAATTTGGTCCCCTGGGAGTGACCTCCAATATCATTGCCCCGGGGCCGATCGCGTCGACAGAGGTGAGTTGTCTGACCCGTAGTGATTCATCCTATCCTCGCTGACCAATCGTTAGGGTCTGGATCGCCTGATCCCCTCCGATGTCATGGCGGCGTACACCAAATCGCAGCCGCTGGGTCGGTTCGGCTCCGTGCGAGACATCGCCGATGCCACCGTGTACCTATTTTCCAACACGGGCAGCTACGTCACGGGCCAGACGCTCGTCGGTAAGTGTCTTCCCGCGGTTTTCTGAGTGTTGGTTCCTGTTCTAACTACGTGCAGTGGACGGCGCAAACTGGCGCATGTCGTCCGGTGGCACGACCGGGTCTATGAGTTATCCCGATTTCCTGCTGACAGGCGATGCCGTGCCGAACGTCAAGGGGCAGAAGAAGTCGAAGCTTTGATTGATTCTTTTCTTGCCTTTTCCTGCGGTGGTTTTGTGCCTTGGCGGTCGTTCTTTTCATTTCGTTTGATAGATAGCCTGCCGGAGACTCGTTGACCGGTCGATGGTGTCATAATAATGCATTCGAAGATTTGATTCGCTACAAATATTGATTGATTCACGGAGGCTTATGCTGGCCTTGACAGTGACGACGGGGAGACAAAGACCGCACCACCTATGACCGTTCATTGAAGCATTGTTCCCTTATTCCCCCTCCGTCTGATTGCTCCGGACGGGTTGGTCCACCCAAGAAGGACTCCAGATGGGGCAAACAAAGAATGGACGATTGGGTCTCAAGGATCAAGAGGAGTTTCCTCGGTCGTGGAGAACATTGTCTCGGTCCCCTCCAACGTGGCCATTGTCAACAAGGCCTTTGTGTGGCCGCAAGAACAAAGACCATCAAAGACGATCAACATATAAAGTCGACCATCTCCCGGAGAGCTCTCAGTGCGGTGTACATTTTTATATAGAGTCCACTCGACGTTAAACAATTACAGCGTGTCGATTGCGAGTATATCCGACTATCCGACCATTAACCACGACTTCGACTTACACCACACCCGCCACCGCAAAATGGCACCCAAAGTTAAGGGAGACGAGGTTTTAGATAACCTCAGCAAGCTTCAATTCTCGGATTCAGTCAAAGAGCTCATCCAAATAGCCCGCCAAAATTACGCCGACGAACTGAAAGCCGCCAACGATGCCGTGTCCGACTACATGCGCAAAAGCAGTCGGACAGAGCGGAAATCTGAGAAACAAGAGAGTGAATTACTGATTCTACAGCAGCGTCTGGCCGATGCGGAGGAGGCGATCAAGACACATGAAGATTCCCAGGCCGAGGCCGCGGACAAGCGCGAGGCGGAGCGTTTGAAGTCGGAGCTGCGCCGGGTCCATGGCTTGGTTCATAACAAGGAATCCGATCTCCACGCCGCCGAGGACCGTGTGGCGGAGATGCGCGAGTACAGCGAGAAGCAGGAGGGTCTCATCGCGACCTTGCGCGAGCGCGCCGCGGTGAGTAAGAGCGATGCGAAGAACAAAGAAAAGATCATCACGAAGTTGGAGGAAGAGATGGGTAACCTAAAGCGCGAGCTCGAAACCCTGGAGAAGAGGAAAGTGGTGCTGCAGAAGAAGCGGTTGGACAGCTCCGTCGGTGCGAAAGCGGAGGAAGAGCCCACGGATGAGGTGACGGAGCTGCTGAGAGTGCTAGAGGACCGGCACGTCGTGCTCCAGCAACAGGTGCGAGGCCTCTTCACGCTTCTTGAAGGTGAGTACGCCATGCGCCGGGTGTACGAGCGGCTCGCCAAGTTCGCCGTCAAGCCCCGGTTGGCCATCTGTGCGGCTCCATCGGGCACCAACTCCAGCACCCCGGGACGGACGCCGGTCATTGCTCAGGGCAGCCTGGAGCAGGAACTCTTGGAGGGCACCGGCGATGAGAGCTTCGATTATGGCGAGGCGGAACCCATGGATGTCACTCGCTTCGGCGAGCCCCTATCCCCCTACCCGCCTCCACCCCCCGAGGAGCTCAGGAAACCCCGCGTGGACTCCGAGAAGCGGCCACTACGCAAGGCAGGTGGCTACCGCACCAAGACGACCAAACGGTTCAGCCCGGGAGAGAAAAAACGGAAGCGAGGGGCGGACAAGAACCCGCTGGAGGAGATGGAGGATATTCAAAGTAAATTGGCCGTTCTGACGCTCGCCCACCCGCCGTCGTCCCGGTCCCTGCAGAACTGGGTCCAGAACGAGCGCGGGGTCTGCCAGGTCGGGGCGCGGAAACGACGCCACCTGAACCCGCTCCCTAGACGGCCCGGGGACGGTTATGCGTACAGTATGCAGAATCTTAACGACTTCCTGACGCATGTCCACAACATCCGCGCCAAAAAGGAGCCGGTGCCCCCCACTCCCGGCCTGCCCCGTCGCCGGGCGGGGCCAGTACCCCCGGGGCCCCCGCCCACGCCCGCAGCCCCGGGTCTGGACCGCGAGGCGGTGATCCAGCACGACCTTGCGCCCGAGGTGCGTAAGAAGGCTATCATCAAGGCCCCGCTTTATTTGAATCTCCCTCCCCCGCCGCCTCCCCAATGGAAAGCCCAGCCCTTCAGCGCGTCACGGAAATTTCAAGTGACCCACCAGGAATGGTGCATGGCATGCGCCTCCCAGCTCGAGCACGAGCTGGATGCCCTACAGTGGAGCCCGCACGACACCGTGATGGAGTACGAGCCGGAGATGTCGCTTGGGCGGCGGCCCCCGATGCCCGCGCCCCACCCGTCCAAGCCCCGTCCGACCAAACCCCTGTGGCAGTACCTCGCGCTGGTTCTGCTCCTCGGGTTTGTCCTGTGGCGGACGACCCGGGTGGACACCCATAGCTGGCTGGAAGCCAACGACCTGCCACCTACCCTCATGCAAAGAATCCAGATGCGGCGCGAGTCGCAAAACCAGCTGCTGCGGATTCTGGACTTTGAGATGTCGCAGCGGGCGGCAGCGGATTGGCCCATCATGGGTTAGACTGGTAGTGATGTCAATAAGTGAGTTGTATTATCTCCTCTCCGTTTGTCCCCGTTCTTGTTGTCATGGTTGGTATCTGTTCCCCCAGGCGACTTTTTCATCCAGATCTGTACTACTAATGTTGTTCATTAGATTGTTCCTTTTGGCACTTACTTTGTTTATACTATATATATATATATGTATCTGTGCAGCAAATCCACCCGCTGGATTGCTTACTTGGGTGGAGTATGCTTGCGTGAGACTCAGCTGGCATTTAGTGTGGTTCAACAGACTTTGATATATATACTCTTGGCTAGACTCCGGTCTCTTGGAGGGTTTCACCACTGTCAACACACACTGGACTATCTGTCACAACGATGGTGTCTGAAGATACCCCAAATCACAGTACAAGTAGACTAAAACAGAGTACAAGAGAGTATGATAGAAGAAAAATGACAAGCTGATCATCTGTCAGTTATGCACGGGATAAGCTTATACTGTGCATCCGCAGCGGATCCACCTATAATCTAACCCGATCCGGCTAGTGTATACGCTATTTTTAGTGGCGTCAGATGACTGCGAGCTAGACTCAATAGGGACTAGCCCGGTTACGTCACGGGGATGCCGCTGCAGCTGAGTCAGCGTTATCTGGCCAATGACAGATGTTGCCGCCCGCAGGCATCCATGAAAGGCCTGGGGCGCACCCAAGAAAGCCACCCACTCCATCCATTCTCCATCCATCTCATTCATTCATTCGGTTCCATCTCACATCATCCCCATCGTTCTTTCATCCATCAATCCATCTGTCTTCTCTTCTTCATCCTCCTTTTTACTTCTTCGTCAACTGCTTTTTGTTAAAATCTTGACTTTGACCGTAACGGTTACTCCTTGGACTGGTTCCCCACTCTCTTTTGAACTACATCGGGTTCGTTCCCAATAGCATCATGAATCTACGTTCGTTTCTTCTGGGGGGCACCCTGGCCCTCGCCACCAATGCCCTCTTGATCGTCCCCGAGATGATGGACGACCCCGCGGCCGCCCCGGGCATCTCCGAACTCCAGACATTGGAAGCCCATGCGGCGCAGCAGCAGCAGGTGGAGCTGCATTGCACCGAGTGTCCCTTCCGTGAAGAGGATAGCAGTGCGGTCTACTGGGTGACGGACGGCTCGGAGACCACTTTGGTATGTCGATCCCATGCGATGATACCCAGAATAGACAGGAGCCAATCAACTAACGATCCTAGTCGTTGAACTTCAGCGTCGAAGATGGCGTCCTCCTGGCCAATGGCCATCAGATCTTCCCCCCTTCGTCGCCCAGCCCCTTGGTCGCCGTTCAGCACCGCCTGTCCGATGGCGAGAAGTCGGCCCCCATCCCGCTGGGTTATGCCGTCGAGATGATGCCGGTGCCCTCCGCGCCCGAGGAGGTGATGGATCTGGTCGCGGTTCGCTTCACTGTACTCGACTTGGACGGCCACCCCGTCCCGTTGAACACGGTGGCGATGCACTTGGTGCATACCCCCTCTGGGGATCTCTACATCGCCAAGTCGGAGATTGAGGAGACCACCCCCGACAAGATGTCCTGGCGCCAGTGCCGCGGTCGCCCCAGCTGCCTGCGTAGCCTGCTGTTCAGCCGGATGCGCTCCCTGTTCGCCTCGGCCAAGAGCCGCATGCTCAGCATGGCCCGCAAGCCGGGTTGTGGTGGTCGTCCCACCGCCGCCCACCGCCGTCCCCATGACTTTGCGTTCCCGGAGGCCCTGGAGGCCAACGGTCGCACGGGCCACGACGGACGCCCCCGCATCAAGTACGGCGCCTGGGAGCGCACCTTGTCGCGCGTGGTGCGCTTCATCCTGGTGCCGGCCATCCTCGGGGTTTTGGCCGGGTTGGTGACCAGCGCCCTGGGCATGTTGGTCGGCCAGCTGGTCGTCTCCCTGTGGCGTCGTCACTCGCGCCGCTCCGCGCCCCTCGACACGGAGGAGCAGGGCACCGCCCCGGAGAAGCAGGGTCTGATGACCGAGAGTGCCGAGGAGCAGCCGCCAGCCTACCGGGATGACGAGGGTCTGCCCGAGCATGTGTCGGCGGACAAGCAGTAAGCAATTCTCCACGAAGCTGCGACGGACGGGCGGCTCCACTTGGGGGCTGTGCCGCGGAGGGAGATGAGGGATTCCATTATCAGACGGGGGTTCGTTTCTTTGTCGTGTCTTGTTCATATCTCTTCGGCTGTGTCTGACCTCTTTCGCTCGGGTTCTTCGTCCCGTTCGATTGGTTTCGTATGACTTGCTGTTGCTCCGGGATGTCTCGGAGCGTACGTATGTTAACTATCGTCAATCTATCTTTATCCTATGTCCTCGTTCGAGATGTTGGTATTGTAGTAAACTATCGTATCATAGGGTACCCCTTCATATTGATCCGAGCCGGCCCCATACCTATAGATCAGGGTTGACAGGCCAGTATTGATTACCTTTCCAGCAATTATTATTCAGTCTCATCAAAGACTACGAACTAGTATTACTTATGTTTGGTGGAGTACTCGCCCTCACAAGTTGTCACAAAGAATACCACTCGCCTACAAAAGATATCTAGACACTTTTGAGCTCTGTGGGTACCCCTTTATGCACGATCTTATATTCCGACAGTCAAGTCACACCAGATGATGCCACACTGCCAGACCCTTTCATCTAGTCGACGCTTTCATCTAGTTCACCCATTGACCTAGTTGACCCTCTCACAGGGGATCTGGTCGATCATTTCATCTAGTTGACTCTTTCACTGGTCAAATCTTAACCAGGTCGGTCCCTTCATCTAATCGACGTTTTCATCTAGTCTCTCATCTCATCCTTTGTCTCCGCGTTGTAGTTCACGAGCATCCTTCCCTCCCCGTTGTCGAAACAATCAATCACTGCGACCCCCGCCAGCTCTTACGATTTTAAGACATGTCCGAATCGGTGTCCGTGGTCTTCTTGAAACGTCTAGGGCAAAAGCAATGGCCCCCCCGTTAGCTTTTACGACTCCACCATATTCCCGAATCTTTGTCGTCGGTCTCCTTGAAGCGTCCGGGACAATGGCCATTGATCATCCGTAGCAGGGTTTGTCTGTTACAAGGTTCCCGGCGAGACGAAGAAGAATTCGAACGGCGCAATTCCCGCCCTTGACATGCTCAGATACGAGGCCAACCTTATGGCGTGCTGCGGCGCGAAACCAACATCCCCGTTCCGGACGTCTACGACTTCAGTGGCACCCGCGACAACGAGCTCAACTGCCCTTTCACCCTGATGGAGTATATCTCCTGGATCCCGCTGATGGAGGCCTGGTTCGACGAGGAGGTCTCACCCGCGGAGGCCGAAAAACGCCGGACGCGCGCCCTCGCCGACCTCGTGGCCGCCATCGTCCAGCTCGACCGGTACAGGTTCGACCAGGTTGGCTTGGCGGTCTTCGGTGCCGACGGCCGTATCTCCGGCACCGACATCACCAATAGAATGAAACCGAACGCCACGAACGACAAGATAGCCGAGTCTCTTCCTTTGCTCACGCCCAAGTTGTACGTCGCCTGGCGGTTGCACGAGATGGACATGTCGCCTGACGACCCAGTGCGCGGCGCCGTCAACCTCCTGAAGATGCTGTTGGATTGGATCCCCAACCCCGCAGACAACGGCAAGGGCCCATTCGTGCTGGCCCAGATGAAGATCGGGGCCAATAAGATCCTCGTGGGACCCGACGGCGCCATCCAGGCCATCCTCGGCTGGGAAGCGGCGGAGGTCATCCCGCGCGCCATTGGCAACGACGCATATCCCCCCTGATTGGTGCCTAATGGTTTCTGGTGCGACGAGGTACTGGAGGGCACGCCCGAGTCAGACGACATGTTGGCCTTCTATCGGAAGGTCTATGCGGACCAGATCCGGGCCCATCAACCAAAGGGGGCGCCACCGCCGCAGACGCGCAACTCCATCATCTACCTACTGTTGTTGAATGCGACGTGAGGCCGCGAACCCTACATGCCTGTCCTGGAGGATATCATGCGGTTTATCCACCAGGCCATCCGGGAGGAAGTGCTCCCCCGTCTGCGCGCGACGTCTGAGGCAAAGGCCGCGGGGATCGACCTCGGTATGTTGGAGTTGTCGACCTTGTGTGAGAGATTGAACAACGATGAAACGACGGAGGAGGAAAGGGAGTTGCTGAAGATGGGATACGAGGCACTGCTGAGTGGGGATACTATCATCTAGCTTTTTGTTTTTTTTTTTTTTTTTATTTTT